AGGTCCAATTAAGTGATTTTCAACAATTCCAACCCAAACATTCACGGAAAATTGTTCTTGATTGTTAAAGTTCACAATTGCATGCGGGTTTTCTTCGGCCCAAACATGATTGTTATGGAAATTTCTTATAGCGTTTCTAGAGAAGTTAGCTTCGTCTGTAAACATTATTTCACAGTCAAACAAGGGATTTTGCGCAATTTTCTCCAAAAACCATTGACAAAAGTTGATTCGCAAAGGAAAATCTCGAGGAAGTAAGGCTTGGACCCGTTGAATATGATACGGGTATAACAGAAAATCGTGAAGAATTCTCCAAACTAGAATGTGCGAGATATTCAAGTTATTTCCAATTTGTCTAGTGCTAATATTAGGATTTTCATCAATTGAATTTAAAACTGCTTCTTCAACTTCTGGAGTTCTAGTAGTCCGATGGGCACCTTTTAATTGATTATTTGGCTTAAAAGTACCTGTTTCAGCCAACGTTCTATGTATGTTTGAGAATGTTCGTCTATCTGGTGTGACTCTATTCGGGAAACGCTCTTGATATAATCGTTTAGCCTCTGGCGCTCTGCCATCAGCCAAGCCATACATGTAATGAATGTCTGCCAACTCTTGATTAGTAAACTCAACCATTATCAAATAACACTGTACAGGTATTTTAAGTATCAAAATTGAGTTGAATGAACTGAACTGTCAAAATTAATAAATCACAACAGTAATCAACAACCACAGCCTACTAGGTAATCTTTATATCATGCTTTCTGTTTGGCTCAATGTGGGTTAGTATGTTGTTCTTTATTTTTTTACTAAAAAACAGTGCAAGATAAGAAAAAAACTCAAGAGATCTTTTTTATTACAAAATAAAGCACCATTTATACAATAATTTTTGTTTTTCAAAAATGCAGTGGCGTATCATTTTTTTCATTCAAAATAATGAGGTTGAAGTTAATTGGGACGCCACTGGTTAAAAATGAAAATTCGTTTATTATGCAAAAGACGTGTCTCTGCACCTAGTTTACACATACTAAGTTTTATAAAACTATCTAATTTAGTTTCGGAGTTATTAAAAAAAACCAATTTTACAAACAGATATTCATCACCCTGTATATCAAAAATAAAGCGAAAACGGACCTATGTTTATATGAACTTTTTGTCTTAAAATCACGCACAGATTAACACCCTTCAATATTGACATCTAATTATGAAACACCCTGTAGAGTGAGCCTATTCGAGCGTAATTATTATTTCTTTTTTTTTAAAGTGATAGCCATTTTTTTTTTCAAATGGCAATATAGGTTTTTTTTATTTATTATTGTGCAGATTTCTATTCTGAATTCAACGATGTATATAAAGTTTACTTTTGTGAAACATCTATTAAAGAAAAAGCATGAAAATATTAGTCAATGCCGCATTATTAGCACCCGGTCGCTTAATTGACAACAAACATATGTATATTGACTAATCATGTATGCCTGAAAAACAAAAAAATAATACAACACAGCAAGTAAATGTCATTTAAGCGTTTGTGTCCTAGTTTTTTATGCATTATAATCTTTCTGTGTCATTTACAGCAGGTTATTTATTGAAATAAGCTCAACGGTGCAAAATATGAGTAATAATCAATTGACGGACATGATTCAGGTATACTTTCGGTGTAATAAAAATCGTGGTACAGGAGTCCGCCTTTACAGAGAACTATTTCCTCACAGAGAAGTTCCAGTACCACGTAGATTTGTAAGACTTGAAGAAAATTTGAGAAACTATGGTGCTTTTAAGAAACCAAAGCGAGAAGAACGCCAATTTAATGGAAACATCGAGTTCAATGTTTTTCTTAACGTTGAAGAAAATCACAGAACTTCCATTACGGAAGTTTCTAATAATATTAGAGCATCAAAGAGAACTGTACATGCAGTATTGAAAATTCAAGCCATACAATCCACAAAAAGTACAGGCATTAGAGGAAAACGATAGAGAACGACGGCTACAATTTGTTTCTTTAGTTGTTTTGTGTTTGTTGTTCTTCATTTAATGTGTCTTGTATTTAATTAATGTTATTTCGTGTTGAACTTTGTATAATAGTTAATGTATTTAATTAAATTGTTTTTCTTTTAATTGATATTCATTGTATTGTTTCTTTTCTGTTAACTACAAAATTCTCTTTTGAGTTTTATTTGCTTTGCTGTATTATTTTTTGTTTTCCATGGCACAGATGATTAGTTAAATAAAATACATTTGTCATGAATTAGTAGCCGGGTGCCGAATGCAGTGTCGACTAATATTTTGTCGTCTTTTCTGTAATAAATGATTTACAAAAGTCAAGTTCATATACATCGTTGAATTCAGAAAATAAATCTGCATAATAATAAATAACAAAAAAACTATATTGCCATTTGGCAAAAAAAATTGACTGTCACATTTCAAAAAAAAAAGAATAGTAAATAAGCTCTAATAGGCCCCCTCTACAGTATATTTAGAGCCATTTCATTTAATTTTCTGTTTTTTAAAATCAGACTATAAATAAAGGAGTTATGGCTTGCGGCGTTTTTTAGGAGACAGACACGAGAGGGTGGTGGATGATAAAAAAGTGTCTTTATGATTTTTCAATCAGACCAGGATTTTTTGAGAGTAAATATCCAAAAATATTAAAAATGTATATTTATAAATTTCAATTTTCAATCATTAGATAAACAATTACGACAAACGAGTTACAACAATTGTTTAAAATTTCCATTGTCTGCTGTTAAACATACTTCAGCACATTGTACTACTACTCGAATGGAGTTGCGCATCACTGGAGTTGTGTTATTTGCTGTATTGATTGAAATAGGCGGTTCTGCAACTCATTCAAATTTGCCACTGGCGTGCTGTACACCAACATTTTTAGGAAGCCCCAAAAGAAAAAAATCACGTGGCGTTAGGTCTGGAGAACAAGGTGGCTAAGCAAATGGACCGCCTCTGCCTAGCCAACTGCACTGCTTCACCTGCACGATTATTTGAAGCTCCGAGAGCCATCAATCACGATTTGAATAATTAATTGTGGGCTATTATTTTGCAGTTTGTATTGACAGGTATTTTGACTGTACTTTAACAAATGTCAAAGTATTGATAAATGCTTTCTGAATTGGCATTAATTGTTTCAAACAATACAACAAATAATGCCAGAGAGCAGTAGCACAATGTGTTGAAGCATGTGTAGCAGCAGGTGGTGGAAATTTATAATAATTCGTTTGTCATAATTATTTATTAAAACTGCCGTATCTCGAAAAATATCGGTCTGATTGAAAAATGATAGAGACATTTTTTTATGACCTTATCTAGCTTAACATGATCCCAGAGTCCGTGTCCGCGAATTTCGTAACACCCTGTATACAAGTTGTGTTAATTCATCTACTAAACCAAATCCCATAGGAGGCATGAATGCCTTTTATGATTTTTTTGAGGTGATTGTTCGTGCATTGAAAATTAGAAGGACTTGTTTACACCACTAAGTAATTTTAGCACAAAAATAAAGCACAGGACATCTATATTAGTTTTTTTTTCTATCATTTACTGTTTAGCCTGTACCCTTCAGTCCTACCCAAAACGGGCTACAGTGTCAATGGAAAACGGTATGACGAAACATGGTTTATTAAAAATCTGACTGCTTTTTTGAATACTGTCTGTGGTTAAAGTTTGATTCACCTAAGCTGGCTATTTTGTCTTTACACCTGTTTTTATATTGAGTAGCAATTAATTAATAACAATATTTCTTACAGTGTACCATTATATTTGTGCCATGCGGACATTTGTGTTGCTGTTGCCATTGCTCTACGTTAGTATCAGAATGTCCCTTATGTCGAACAAATATAGAACGTAAAATAACCGTGTCATGAATCTAAAATCTTTTATTACATTCTTATATTTCAAATTCACCAGTGTGATATTTTATATTTCTAATGTTACATGCATGATTTCCTGTTGTGATTAAGTAGGAATGAAAATTATATTATGTTTTCGGTAAAATATAAAATCACATTTTGATATTTTGTAGCTAAGGAATATTCTGCTAGCAAATACTTTGTTATAATGTTATTAGAGTATAAGACATAATACTTCACTCATAATTTAAATTGCTAGATACATAATTGCTTAGTCATTTTATAGATATAATCTATATTAAAGGTATACATATTCTTTTTAAGAGAAATAAGTCCAACACTATTAAATATGGTATTTTTTTATCAAATCGGAACATATAGATTCAACATTAAAAAAATTAAATACAATTGTCCTATATCATGTTGTTTTGAACAAATATTTTCAAGTAATATATAAATTCTTGATATAATATAAAACTATAAACCCTCTATCAGATTGTCCCTTACTTCATTGTGCCATACAATTTAATTTAAAGTGGAATATTTTCAAAATATTTTTACTAAGGCTTTATTATATGAGAGACTGTGTATGTTTTAAGTTGTTTTATATAACCATCAGATAACACTAATAAATGATTATTAAATGCCAATTCTTATAAGAATGGTACTTAAAATAATATATCAACTTTGTTCACAGCGCGTCAGATATGCTTGTTAACAATTTCCAACCATTAGAACGCAAACTGCATTTGTAACGTTGGTTAACAGAGGCAAGTGTTTTTGACCGATGGAATAAAGTAATATTTATTTTCTGTTTTTTGGTGCAGTTTGTATGTCAAATTGAGCATAAATTGTGGCCTTTAAAAAAGTAATAATTTAGTTATTAAATGTATATATAATCTTAACTAGTCATGTGTCATTGCAAGCTTTCTCTACTGTTATTTTATAATCAAATATTGTTTTAATAAAAACTTTTTGTATATATTAGTTTTATTGAAAATATAACAAATAAATTATTAAACTTATAACTAGTATCATAACATTGTCATTAAATTCATACATCTTCTACCGTCTCGTCGACTTCGTCATCCTCTCCTTCCTCAACTGTCCCATTTTCTTCATTTAGTTTTTTTGGTTTGCTGGTTTTATCTTTCTTAACTTTTGAATTTTTAAATTCTAAAAGTATACGTCTTAGTTTTGGAAATATGGCCACGTTCAACAGATACATAACTGTTGTTAAATCTCTCGTTTTATGTAATCGGCATATATTCAACTTGTGGTCAACAGAATAATCATAAAGTTTAGCAATGTTTGTATCTGCTAAACACAGCCAATTTTATAGTTGGAACCATTACTACCATGGTTAAAAAAATTCATAACTACTTTTAAGTATATTAACGATAATAAAAATTTTATCAAGAGTTGTTACAGATAGATTTACTGTTCAGATAGATATTAAATCATATCAATATAATTTAAATTTAAACTAATTCAAGTTTTAACGTGAGGAAATGTTATACCTTTCAGAACGTTTTGCAATGGTTCGATGAAGTTTTCAAATTCCAATTCTTCTAAAGCTGTAATAATATCTTGACCAACTAGCGTCTTCCTATTAGCTTTTTGTGCTTCCGTAGAAGCTTGTGATGTTATATAAAGAACAAATACTGAAGCCGCCCTGGACAAAGCAGATTTGGCATCTTTTCCAACAATTACATGATCAGGTAGTGCTTCTTTTATAATTTTTTGAACAGAAGCGTTTGGTAGATTCAAGTCTTCTAATTTTTCAGCCATTTTATTTTAAAATAAAGTAAATAAGGCACTTTCAACGTTTGTTTACAATCCAACTTTTTTTAATTTTCAAAGTGGGGTTAGGTTTATTTTATTTATGCTTTTACTTTCCCTCGAAATCAAGGAATAGGGGTTTTTCGTTTTTGTTTTTGGTAGAGATTGGTTAGTTCGTTAACGAATTAGTTCGAATGAAATATTCTCTGTGGTGAATAGGTGAACTGTTCACCCTTAGAGCATATAGTACATGGAGGAGAGGAAGCTTGCTTACGGCGACAGTGCAGAAGAGTGACAGAGAAAAAAAGAGTTTCAATACTATCTTTCTTTCTCGCACAGGCTTTTGATTAGCTAACGCAAGTCTTCCCTCAATCACATACCCCACGGTCCGTAAAGAGGCGGTCGCCGCATAAGTCAATCAGCCAATAAAAAACAAAACGTCACGAGATACCTCAGTTTATCTTCGTTCAACCGTCATCTCTTTCTAACTCATTGCATTTCCTATAAGAAAATAAGAGGCAAATCCTAGATTAGAGAAGTATATAGATTGGCAACTCTGTAGCGGGACTCCTGAAATCTCGATGTCGTTTTATCGATATCGAGATAATTACGAAACCAATCTCGATCGATTCGACTCGAAATGTAAATTGGTACTCTTGAAGCACATCGATATAGTCCTTGGATAAGTTCGGCAAATTTGGGGTAATGTTGTATACCTCCACGGTTAAGGCAAAGTGATATATTTATTTCTGTCTAACATATACGTATTTCAGCTATCTATCTCTTTTTGTCCGGTGGCGACGTCACGCAGTTTATTTAAATTTTAAAATTAATACCTATCATCAAATAAATAAACAGAAGTTTATAAAATTATTTATTTAGTCTAAACAGTAAACCATGAAAGTTGATTTAAATGTACTTTATATTTAAAGGTTTTATGCGTACATACTCAACAAATTATTGATATTCCATATCCTAATTTTTTATTAGGTTTGAAATAAAAAACATAAACTACTACCTGTGATTATCATTATTGTTGAACTATTAGAGTGACGAGAAGCATTTAGGAATGAAAATATTTGGAGAAAACAGTTAAGAGATTCAATGGATTCATTATAATCTTTACGACCGGACAAAAAATTTGTGTAATTATTCCGCTTACTTAAAAATATTATATGTAATTTAATTATGTCTATTGTTTGACATTTAAAAGATGTAAAAAGAACTTCGGATACTATTCAATTCAACATTAAATTATTTTGTATTTTCTGGTTTTCTGCACGGTGAACATCACTGGAATGAGTAGAGTTCTTGCTTCAAATCAACAAACTATTAATCACAAAACATATAAAAGATATTAATAGAGGTATAAAGAAGGTCACATATAAGTTATTTATTAAAACCTCTCCAACAATTGGATAAAATTTTCACCAACATTAGAGAAAAATATTCCGGTAAATACACACTCATGACAGCCTCTGGAAAACGCAGAGGGCCCTGCGACAGACCGCTCGCCGTAAAATTCCTCCAATCCACGGTAGTGTGGGGGTGGTTTACACGAACCAGGAAAAGGCCGAGGCTTTCGCCGATAGCCTGGAACTGCAGTGTAGACTGCCTCAGCTGCCCGACGAAGACGAGGAATTCGAGTTAGTGGCTGAGCGCGCGGCCCGACGCGTCGACAGAGAGCCAGACAATGACATAATCCCCCCCGCAACACCTGACGAACTAAGACTGACAATACGCAGACTTAAAAACAGAAAAGCCCCCGGACCCGACAATATACATAACACGACACTTAAACGACTACCACACAAGGGCCTCATGGCCCTACTAAACATAACAAACGCGACACTCAGACTAAGACACTTCCCTACCCGCTGGAAAACAGCAAACATAATCCTTATCCCAAAACCCAACAAAGATCACACCATCCCATCCAACTACCGGCCCATTAGCCTGCTCCCGGCTATGAGCAAAGTGGTAGAAAAAATTATCCTAACCCGTCTAAGAACCCACTCCCAAGAACTGCAAGTCATTCCAGACGAGCAGTTCGCCTTCCGACCCAATCACTCCACTGAACTCCAAATCCTTCGCCTTACCGAGCACATCACGGCGGCCTTCAACAGGGGACAGTACACTGGTGCTGTCTTCCTGGACGTCGCAAAGGCCTTCGATACGGTTTGGCATGAAGGCCTACTGATGAAAATGCTCACCAACCAATATCCCATATCCTTTACCAAACTCATAAAATCCTACCTACACCACCGAAAATTCCGCATCCAAATCCAAGATTCCCTTTCCACCACCCGTCCCATGGAGGCCGGTGTCCCCCAGGGCACCGTCCTGTCCCCACACCTATACACCATTTACAACTCCGACATCCCACATCCCCCCAACACCAACATATACTTATACGCCGACGACCTGAC